GGGGGAAGCTTCCATTCTGGTGGCAGCTTCCACTCTGGCGGCAGCTTCCACTCTGGGGGCTATCACCATCATGTCCATCATGTGGTGGTGCATCACTACCACTGATCCCACGGGAGGCATCGTGTGGGGTGGCGATGAGGACTCGTGAGCTCACGTTGGACTTGTCGGGACTCCTCTTGAGGCTTCAAAAAGGCCCAAAGGAACTCATACATCTTTTGCAGAGCTCATGGGACTGCCATGTCGGACTGCCGCCCCGACCCCCGAAACGGCACCACCCTAACTTGATCGTTTCGAAGGCAGTCCGAGTTGAAACAGTCCCATCAACGTCGTGTCTGGGCGTCATTCCATCCACGTCTGGTGAGGTTTTGGCTTGGAATCCACCGCAACCTCGGTCTCTCCCAGTCCACTCTGCCGTGTCTGGAGTCCACTCTGCCGCCGCGCCTCGTGAGCGTGCGGTTGGTCGACTCGACCCCACGGCAAAACCGCAAAACCGGGCGTTCTCTCGACATGTCATGAAAGACTGGAATCATTTTGGCGTGGATGGGACATGATTGAAGTCCACCCCCCGAGTTCGGAGGACCATGAAATCCCAAGACCGGCGGTTTTCACAGGTTCTTTTTTTTCCGCGCCTTCGTGGCGCCACGAAATCTTCGCCCGAATTCATGCAGTGTTATAGGTCCGACTCTTGATGAATCACCCCCGCACCCCATTGGGATGGAACAACCTCTTCATAGGAGGGATGAAATCGATTTATCAAGAGTCGACTTACATGATTTCATGATCTATTTCCACTTTTTGCACTTGGTTCCTCCGGAGTTTTGCACTTTTTTTTTCATTTGCTCCCCAGGGGCGCCTCCTCTCGCCTCGCTGTTTGGGTCGACCTGCGCGGCCCTCGCGGCTTCGAAGAAGCGGCGGCCCGCGCTGTGCGCTGCGCTGCGCTGTGCGCGGTGCGCTGTGGCACCGGGGCGACCGTGGACGGTCGTCACGTCCCGAAGGGACGACGGCGGTTCATGCGGTTGGGCACAACGGCTTCAAAACGCTGGTGTATGCGGGGGTGGTTGCTTGGGAGGAGACTGGGGCTCTGGTGTTTGATAGTCGTTCTCTTGTTTCTTTTTCTTGGGAGCCAAGTCTGCAGGCCACCGCAAGCCATTTTGGAGGCTGGGAATGCAGTTCCTGAACAAAAGCTCGTAACAAACAGGGTGCAGCACCAGGCTGAAGCAGAAAGATGTCAGAAAGCCAATCGATCCAGTTTGGGAGCCAACGAGCCGTGAGAAGCGAGAAGTGAGTCAACCAATCTTTCTCGCCATGCGGTTGAAGGCCATTCCAGGTTCCTTTTGGACGTTTGTTCCGCCTCCTTCACCTCTGCGCCGCCGCTCCGGGCCCGCCATGGCGGCACCATGGCGTCACCGGCCGTGGCCTGCCGTGGCACAGGACGTGTCCGTGGCGTGGTGACGACGGGGCGTGGAGGGAGGGCCGACGACGGGGTGTGGTGAAGAGACATGTGGTGAATCAAGCAGAACATAATAAGGTTTAGTGGCTGAATAATAAGGTTAGTGGTCTAAAGACAAAAGCATTAAGGAAGAGGGAAAAGAAGAGACCTGGAAGTAGTATCTAGAGGGATTTGTATGGGGATATTTTGTAGAACACCTTGTCAATGCCCCAGACAACTGCGTATGTTGCAGCTGCAGCCTGTGTTTCCGGGCTGCTTTGGTGTGCAGCCTGACTCGACTTTCGGTTCAAGTTGGACGGCCGACGGGCCGACTCCGGTGGTTCATGACGGCCTCGACTTCGACCTCACCACCCGTGAGGGGCTACATCGATGGGTGCTTCGATATTATGCACTCAGGGCATTACAACGCCATTCGTCAGGCCAAGAGCATTTGTGATACTTTAGTTGTTGGCATCCACTCTGACCAAGAGATCGCCGAAAACAAGTCGATGCCTGTGATGCGGCAAGAAGAGCGCTACCGCTTGCTGGATCACATTAAATGGATCGATGAGATTCTGTATGATGTTCCATACTCCCCAGAGCTTGCGACTCTGGAGCGTGCCAGGGCAGATTTCTGCATCCATGGAGATGACATGCCCGTGAACTCGCAGGGCTTCTGTGCCTATGACGAGATGCGCCACGCAGGGCGTCTACGCATCATCAAGCGTACCGAGGGTGTCTCCACCACTGACCTGATCGGTCGGCTCTTGACCCTCTCGCGGAATCAGCCCTCGGATCTGGGCGGTGCCTCGCCCAAAATGGGCTTCCGAATGAGTGCGGATGAGGTGATCGCCCACTCAGCCCAAGCAAGTTCAGACACCTCTCAAGGCTCCCAAGGAAAACGGCTGCTTCGAGAAAGTGTGGAGAAGCTCGTGAGCAAGTATCAGATCAGCACGGAGGATGCAACTGCCTTGCAGCAACAGATTGAGCAACTCCCCCTCGCCCCCCCCAGAACTCCCCGCCCCCTCCGTGAACAGCGACGGATCGGGCTACACCCGGACCCAAGTTCCGGTGCAGCTCTTAGCCAGCACTCGCCGGATCCGGGAGTTTTCCTCGGCCAAGCAGCCGTCACCGCAGGATTGCGTGGTCTATGCCTGTGGTTCCTTTGACATGTTCCATGTGGGCCATGCAGAGTTTCTGAAAGACGCCCGCGAGCTTGGCAGCTTCTTGTTGGTGGGAATTCATGACGATGTGAGCATCAGCCGGTCGAAGGGGCAGAACCTGCCCGTGATGAACCTCAACGAGCGCGTGTTGAACGTGTGTGCCTGCAAATGGGTCGACGAGGTGATCATCGGAGCTCCGATGAGCGTCACGGAAGATTTGGTCAAGACCTGGGACATCAATGTGGTGGCGAAAGGTACGGGCCACAAGCGGAATGCGGGAGAGGAGCAGGATCTTCGCTTTGAGGTGGGAACATGTGGGAACTCTTTGGAAATATGTTTAAAGATGGTTTCTTTTTGTTCTTTTGCTAGGCGTGGCTTAGGCAGTCGGGACACATCAAACAACTCTTTTCAGAGCTCTTTTCAGACGTGCGTCCGGAAGGCTAAGAACCTGTATGCAAGAGCATTCCCCCCCAAAAGCAACCTCGACAAGATGTGCAAACACGGAGGCAAGATTCCGATGGTCATACCTTCGATACCTTGTTGGGACTTTGAGTAAGAACCCCGAGGGGGTAACATACATGGTTGGGTCATCCGATGGGTGTCCACTAGACCACGCTAGACTGCTTATGGACCTTCATTGGACACCCATTGGATGATCCTGTACATACCTGGTTGGCATGTTTGGGCTGCTCTCACGAAAAAGACCCTACTACTTGGCCCCGTGCCGTTCTGCTGCTGGCACGGTGGAAATCCTGCCGCGAGTGGAGGTACCCAAAAGCTCTGGCATCTACAAGGAAGTCCCCTCTCGTTGGCCCGAGCTGTGCCACGACACCGTGGTGGAACGCATCATCCGCGGCCGGGAACAGCGACTGGACCGGGAACAGCGGCCGGCGACCGGTCCCCGATGTCAAGACCAGGTTTGAAGGTCTAAAAGGTCTAAAGCTGTAGAACAAGATGAACAATCACGGAAACTTCAGCAGCTTGTCGTAGCTTTTCCATCTTTCTCTCTCCGTTTCGGTCGGCGTTTTCAGACGGTTCTCTCCGTTCGCCCTTTCATCAACAACGAAGACGCGTCGCCCGCGTCGACCTCCCAGGTACCTCACGCGGAACAAGGACCGCGCCAAGCGCGAGGACACGTACTACGAGAAGAAGCAGGCCTCGGTGGCCGAAGCGTAGCTCGGCGGACGAGTCCGCCGAAGCTCCAGCCGCCGTGCCTCGGCGCAGTCCACGGGCGCGGGGGGTCAGCAACGAACAGCCTAAGACGGGCACGATTCCAGGGAGTTCGTGGTTTCACCGGAATGGTCACGCCCAGTGTTGGGACCAAAAGAGGCATGCAGTACATACTCGTCCTTTCTTGACATCCGACCATGTAGCGAAAGGTAGCCAAGAGGATGTTTGGCGCAGGGGCGTTGCCTTACAGGCTTCCGAACAGTGCTAGACAGGCTAGACATGACCTCTTTTCACGTTCGCTTCGGGAACCGCGACAGCGGCACCTGCTCGCGGCTCAGAGAGCCCAACCGCTTCAGCGGCTGTTGAACCCATTCGGAAGCACCGACCCGGCGGTCCTTGTGGGGCGCAGCGGCGACGGGTCCGTCGTTCGCCCATTCGGGTTCCTTCGAAGTCCTTGTCGGCAGGACGGAGTGGCCTCTCCGAGCGGGTGTTTCCCGGGTGAGGGCCGGGCACTGCACGGGCACGCCGGTGGGTCGGAAAAAGGACTTGGAGATGGGTGCCAAGCGCCAATAGCGAGAAGAAACCACTCAGTGGGGTTTTTGGAATCCGGAAATCGTTGGGCCTTTTTGTTGTATCGTTGGGGGCACAAATGTTCAAGAACAATATCTATTTCATGGAGTTTGTCCCGTTGTGAAGGGTGGACTAAGACAGAGTGGAGTTGTGATGGAGATGGTCAACTCGCTCTCGGAACAGACCTGCGAAACTGGCAGTCTCGGCCTGCTGATGCTCGAAGCGCTCTTCGGGCGCCGAGAGTCTTGTCCTTCAGATCCTTCAGAAAAGCCCCGACCCTCCGCGACGACCGCGTTCGTTTTCTTTTTCACGTTGCGCGTGGCAGCACGAAAACGACCGGCATCGAGTTCGGAAAGCTTTCGGCAGCGTTCGACGCTCCGCGTCTTGGGCTCCAGCGTCGACGAAGTTTCGGACGAGTTGAACACACGAGTTCCGCCGATCCAGTCCAGCGCGATGCCGTCGACTGGCCCGTGGACGGGTTCCAGTGGCCCCGTGATTGGCGGCGGCGGTGGCGGCGGCGGCGGCGCGATGGATGGTATGGGGTGCTATCAGGCGAGAGGGCCCGCCGCTACGGGGGGGGACTTTCCTGAAACCTTCAGTCGGTCCAAAGATCGTCGAACTGGACTTCAGTCGGGTGTCTCGTAAGTACCTCTCTGGAAACAGACCGTGCAGTCCATTTCCCACGCCCTGGGCCGACTTTCGGTGAGGTCTGCTTGGAGGGTTCCTTGGCAGCAGGGCAGTGGTTTCACGCCGGTGGGCCGTGATTTCCTGCAGACGAATGAGGTGACCCATCCAGCATCAAGGAGTCGGCGACGTGGGTGTACAAAGGACCCGCACGGCCCGCACACGGAACTGGCCACGGGCCGGACGGGACCCAAGGGGACGGGACGCGCCGGGGGCGACGGAGGTGAAGTCGCAGAAAGCGTCTTCAAACGAAGGAAGCGGCATTTTGTTCCTTTTCTTGCGCATTCGCTGCTAGGAGAGGGGCAAGGTTCTTACATTCACAATACCACCGTGGAGTATGTTGGAGCAGGCTCGAGCGGCTTCCCTCGCCGTGTGCCACGCGGGAGGTGGTTGGTGGCATGGGTTTGAAAAGAGGGACGTCCGAATTCAATATGCTTTGATGCTGCGGAATGTACTGAAAGCTTCCGAACTGGAGAAAGAGAAAACGGGAAAGGAGAGAAGACAGAGCATTTACCGCATTTACCTCGATCCTCGATCCACCGCTTGGCACCATGCACAGGACGCGGGTCCTATGACAAGGAGGTGAACGTGTCTTATGGGGCTTGGCGTTGTCGAACCTGTTGTCTCTTCCTGCTGCTCCTTCTTCCCATCCTGGGCGCCTGGCTCAGCAAGAGAGGAAGAGCGCCGTACATCAGCTAGTAGATGCCGACCGGAAGACCCAAACACCCAGAAATAGATCGATGTTTCCCCAAGGCCACTTCATTTCATAAAGGATGTCAATTGTCAATTTCCATGTCGATGTTCCAACCATTTATTGCTGCTTGGGATTGGGTTTCCAGGAAGGTACGTAATTTCTGGGTGTCGCTTCTTCTTGAGCCCCATCGAGACATGATCTGATGGTATCTGATGATCCACGTTCAGAAGATGTCCAGTCATGGCGCTTCTCCTCCTTCTCCAGTCTTCTCCTCCGTGCAAGCACAATTACACGCGGAAGCGGAACGAAAAGCCACACCACCTGAGGCTTTTTGATCTATTGGCTGTGGCCCCGCAACACCGGCTTCACGGAACCGCACGACTGCCCCTCGCCGGTTCCGCAGAGTGGAGAGGCCTGGTCGGCCTGGTTCGCTCTGGCTCCAGCTGATCGGAGACCATGGCGAAGCCCAAAAGGATCATGCCAAAGAGATGAATCGCGCATGAACAAGAAGAGGTTTTTCCGCGATAGCTCATTTCACAATCAAGGAATCGATGAATCAAGCAGTGTACATGATTGTACACGAATGGCAGATGTTCTTGGAGGCTGCAAATTGGGGAAGGATATGAAGGGATGCTATCCTGCTATCCTGCCACCATCATGCTATCATCATGCTATCATCACGACGTCCCCCAAAACCTTGAAACCCCGGCGGAAAAAAAAACGCGCCGTCCCACGCCCAGGTTTCAGCGACTACGCCAATTGGCGAAACGCCTGGAATCAAGAGAAGGCGTCCTATTGCTGTGCCCAACATGGCAAGGGGTGTGGAGGCCCTGTGTGGCCTGGCCCTGAATAGAGTCGGAGCACCGGCCCTGGCGGCTGAGAGTTGGAGAGGGGGGGTTCTTTGTGTTAGCAAGTGGCAGAAAGGCCTCAAGGTCTAAAGAAACGACAGGAGAGATAAAGACAGAAATACAATGAAATTAGAGCGAGTGAGGAAGCAAGGGGGTGAGGTGCGTTGTGATGGCTTGCAGGTACAACTGTCATGCGGGATACTCGAATTGGTACTTCGGATGGTCTGCGCACAAGAAGTCCTGGTGCTGTGATCATAACAGCATGGGCTGCCCTGGAACTTGGCATGGCAGCTACCATCTTGAGACTCACGTGACGCACGGTGTGGGTCATGCACAGGGCCGAATCTATGACTGCAATGCAGGCTTTTCGAATTGGAAGCAGGGATGGTCCAACTCCAAGCAGGAATGGTGCTGCACCCATGAGAAGAGAGGATGCATGAAGTATCACTGTGATGGAGATGCGCCTTGGCAAGACTTTGGCAGTAACAGCCGCGGCCGTCTAAGGCATTGGAGGCCCCAATCAAGTCGGAGACACCGCTTTCGCGCCGCGGAAACTGCAACCTCGAAATCGTCGCAGTTGGCGACTCCGTCGAAAAATCCTTCGCCTCAGGCCAGCATGTGGGCGGCTCCCCAGAGACAGTGGCTCCTCGGACCGCAGCGTTCGTTCGGACCCTGGGACCCACGCATGGTCCGCCAGCTCAAGTGCTGCGACATGGCGAGTCGGGCAAGTCACAGCTCGATGGAACTCCGGAACCAATCGCTTTCTTTTTTTGGGCTTCCTGGACAATGCGGGAGGTCCTTGGGTGTTTTGGGGATGTTTTGGTGTGTGTCCTCATGGCTGATGGCGCCCCACATGTGACGCAGACACGAAGAAGAATTTGGACGGGGCAGCTGGTGAAGTGGCATCAGGGGCGCCATCGCTCTCGTCCTGGTGAGTACGGCGTTTTTGATGACACATCCAACATCATCCAACCCTCAAAAACCAGAATTGAACAAAGTTTGAATTTGACATCTGTGTGAAGCTATGAAGAATGAAGGGCAAGTGCCGGAGTGCCAGGACAATTTTGCCTAGATCTTCCAACTATTCAACATTTCTGCGTTTTCATCTATGACAACAAAAAGATCCAAGTATAGTTAGGCAGACATTTTGCTTAGGGCCTAGCCTAAAGCTACTAGATGGAAGATCCAGGTCTAGTACTACCTGAAGTCCCAGCTGTGCTTCTCTCAGGTGCTGTGGCAACTTCCAGAAGGGATGTCCTCAGACCACCGTCTCACCCCTGAAGTGCAACGCGATGTGTCATCTGCAAGGCGTTCGGGAACCTGTTCGGGAAGCGTGGGGGGTGGGCGCTTCGGTCGCCCCAGCCAGACGCTGAATGTTTTGGGAAGGTTTCGGGTGGCAAAGGCGGTGTTTCTTTTGGGTTTCGAGACGGTTCGAGTTCTTTTCCGCAAACACTTCGCGCCCTTCACTAAAGCATCCGAACCCTTTTTTCCATCAGATCCATGCCTTTTGCATAGTGCTTCCTTCCAAAAGATGCTCCGTGGAAGGTTCACTTCCGCGCGTTTCTTTGGAATCCAACCGGTGCAAACCGGTGGTTCCAGGTGCTTCCGGTACGTGTGCATTTCTCGCTCATCCGACCGATCCTGCGCCCCCGGTGCTGACTGGGGCCTCCGTTCAGTTCAAGCCGGAGGGCGTTTCTGATGTCTTTTGGGGGGGAAGCTCCAGGGAAGAGAACTCTTGGAGAACCAAGGAAAACAGGCACACTTTCCGGTGCAACGGGACGGGGTTCCCCACCGTGTCGTGCTGCACCGCGGATGGCGCGCGGACGGCGCGACGGCGTGCGAGGTGAGGGCTCCAAGTGCATCGACCGCATCCATTGGACGCGCGACCATGTCTTCGGCGGCAAGGACGGGAGCGAGTGGAGGGCCTCTCCAGGAAACACTCGGTTGAGAGAAGGAGAAAAGAATGAAAGAGAAAAGAAAGAAAAGAAAGGAAAAGACATATTGGGAAAGGAAGGGAAAGCAAAGAAAAGGAAGGAAAGGAAATGACAGCAAGAAACCGTCTAAAAGTCTAAAGTCTAAAGGTGAAACAACACCAGAAATAGAACAGAAAGAAGACTCCCATGTGTCAGGGAAGATCGCTCTCCAAGGACTCTCCAAGGACCATGTCCACTCTCACATTTGTCAGATATTTGGCGTTTCTGGATGGAACGATTAAGGCCCCCGGGCCCGTGGCATGGCAAGGCTGGCCAGGGGCCGGCCGCCTGATCTCCTAGCCCTAGAGTCCATAGAGATGTAGCTGAGCCTAGCAGTGAGCCGGCCGCCTGATCTGAGCCGAGCGCTGCTAGGAGAACAGCTGCGAATTGGCCTACAGCAAGGTGCAAGTGGAGTGCGATGTTTGTCGAGGCTGCTCGATCCAGGTGCCACGACCGACTTCGCATCCGGAAAAAGAGAGAGAGAGAGTTAGAGTTTTTGGCCGCCCTTCTTCGGGCGGCCGGATTTGTTTCCCCATCTGCAGGGCTTGTGAAAGAATTTGGGGTTTGCTTTTTTGGGGCAAACCTGTGGTGCCCGTGGTTTTCGACACCACGTGTCTTCCGCCCATCTCCTTCCGCGACCGACGTCTCCGTTGGGCAGCAGGACGCAGGTTGTCAAGTGCATGCCGTTGGGAAAGATCCATTCGATTGCAACGCTGCCCTCAACAATTTCTTCCGTGTACCTGGGAAGTGAAACATGATCTTGGGGAGGGCCGGTGCATCACTCCATGAACTGGGGATGATTGACTCGTGCAGTGCATGTTCTTTCGTTTCATGACTTGCTTTTTCACTTGGCCCAGTACTTGCTTTATTTTTGTACTCACAAGTCTTTAAACTTTAAAGTTAAAGGCTGTTTCTATGTCCTGGTTGGGGGGCATGAGGCGGAATATGGTCTAAGCCAACCAGCCATATGTTTTCCATTTGGTCAAACCACTGGCGTTCTCACAGCTTCTCATGCATCAGGCGCATAAGATCGCATAAGGCTCAAGGCCCTTGCATGGGGCGTCCCTCCCGTCCCTCTCTCCGCCGCTACTGCCGCGTTTCGGCAGTGGTGCCACCTGAGGCCTGGTCGCCCGAGAAGAAGCATTGGTGCTGCACGAAGCGTGGGAAAGGCTGTGAGGGCACCTCGCCACCGGCAGTGGATGCAGGCTATGGCATGGTTTGGAAGCGCGTTCAGGCGGGGTTTTCACGGGCGGAATGCGTTGGGCAGGCGTGCATCTCGATGCCTTCGTGCAAGGCATATGCAAGGCATATACGTATTAGCTCATGCAGGTCCGGTGGTTCGGTACTTGAGGTTCCAGATCGAAGTAGTTGTTTGGGTCTTTTGTTGTTTTTTTTGGCATGGAGGTCTTGAAGAAATTCTTCAAGGAGTCTAACTTGGGTCTTCGGTGCAAGACTATCAATATGTTTGAGAAAGGTCTTTACTAACCATCATCCAGCAACTTGCTGGTAAAAAGGGCAGACCCAAAGTCTACCACACAACGACTTAGTATGATCAATCCTTTTCCAGGTGCGGAAGGGTTCTACGCACGCTAGGTGCGTGGCTATTGGACCTGGCAAGCGGTTCACGGACACGGTGTGGTCAGCATGCCCTACGACTGCCATGCGGGCCTCCAAAACTGGCACACGGGATGGTCGGCAGGAAAGAAGGCGAGCTCTGCAAGTTCCTGAAGAGCTTCACGAAATCGATCGTTCGTTTGTTTCATTTGGCACATCTGGCCTGGCAGCACATCTGGCCTGACACTTCCTTGGCCTGGCCAGTTTCGGCTCGTTCCAACTGCTCGTTCTTAGTGGGTGCACACCACAGCTACAAAAATGAACACCGCGCACGACAGACACGTCGTGCGACCGCTGCGACGTGCCCTTTCGATCTGAATTGTTCGAGCAGTCTGCGACTGTGTCCGAGTAAAGCTCTCACAGTTGATAAGAGAGTATAGTTGTACATTATTCTTGCCACTGGCGGGATATACAAAAACAGACAGAAAGAAGACTGGGGATTGAGGGGCCTGAACTCTGTTTTGAGCGTTTTCCGGGCTCTTTTTAAAGGAAGAACGTCCACCATCTGCCGCTGTTCAGGGATGGTGCTGCCAGCATCAACATCTCGGTTGCGCAGGCACGCACCTGGAAACCGGAAGAAACCTCTCCGAAACAAAGCGACGTTACTAGTACAGGTTGTGTTCGGTCATTCGGACGATGCTTAGTAGATCTTTTCCTCTGGCAACCTGCCCATTAGTCGCTGCCAACCTGTTTGGCAGCGCCAACAATCATCCTCTTTCCAGCGGCCTCTGGGTCCGAAGAAGGTCCGCCGTTCTGGTTTCAACCAGCCAAACATGGAGATCGGTGCCGGTCCCGGTGCCCCTGTCACACCCACTCACTCCGTAGGGACTAACAGTTCCGCAAAGAAACGCCATGTGACTCCGGGGGCCTTGAATTTGCCAAGTCTTTGGTTGGCTTTCCGATGGCCCTTTACAGACTGAAGATGCATTCTTTTCAGATTGGTCGAGAAACATCCGACATGACATCGAAACAGACAAGACATACAAGACCGACATGCATTCAACTGCCTGTCATTTTGTGGTGGGCACACGGACGTAAAGTAGCAAGCACCTATTTTTAGGGAATTCTTGCGCCAAGTAGACTTGAGCGACCAAGAACAACTAAGAGTTCTAGGTTTGGAGTTTTTGGCCAAAGAACACCGTCCCGTTTCTTCAGACAAGTCAAGGAAAACACATTTTGGAAGGCACCTTCAAAGCTTGGCCCTTGTTCTCGGAGGTCAAACTAACATTTGCCCTGCAATGGTTTGCCAACTTCGTTCGTCTTCCTGCAGCCGAGCAATGAAGAATGGTCGTAGACATGTGCATAGAAGATAGATGCTTACTACAACAGCGACCCAGAGCCGTCCTGGTTCAGGTGGTGAAAATTCGCATTTTTTCCATCAGATGCCGTCTGATTCTGTGCCCGTTGTGTGCGTGGTCTTTTCATACCAAAGAGCAATTGTTTTGCTAAGGGCTTTTACACTAACACCACCAGGTCGACCATTCTTTTAAAAAGGGTCGAACTGGTTTGGCTATAGGGTTTGGCATGGTTTGGTGTTTTGTTCATGGTTCATTTTCTCTCTTTGTTTCCGAGGTGCTCACCCCTGACAAGGCGCGGGCCCGCGCGTGGAAACACGCACCGCCCTTTGCAAGGTCCGTCACGACCCGATGGACGCTGGAGTTCACGGTGACAGTATCCCACACACGAACGATGGGACTGGCATGCACCCGAGGTCAGAATTGAAAGGACTAGCATTTTGAAGGGCTGAAGGTAAAGGAAGCTCCGGAAATCAGGTCCTTTATAAAGTTATACAGACATCTAAAGACAAGCTGTATTCTTTTGATAGTATTGACTGTCGTTGAACTGTGAAGACCCCGTTTCCCGCATTCCCTAGCCTGATCGGTGTCCAGAGCTCTCATGCTGGCCCCACAGAGAGAGGCGTGACCCAATCTGCTGGCCCCTGTCGGCATGTCGGCAGACCCGGCCGAAGAAAAACGCTGGTCTCGACCCCGAACGATAGCGGTTCACCAGCGCTGGTCGACCAGAAAAGCGGATCAAGTTGAAAACAGACCCCGACGCTGAAGAACCGGCTGCGACAGCCGCCATCTGAAGAACCGTCCCAGGTTCGATTGGTGGAGCCGGGGCCAATTCAAAGAAATTCGAGTGCCAAGCAGCTCTGTAAAATCAGGGGTGCTTGAATCTTGCAACTTTGCATCTTGACGTCTCCTGGACGGGGCAACTGACGTCGGTTTCACCCATTCCTTGCCGACCAGCGCGTGCACAAATATCGCCGTGCAATGTTGGAACGCGCCGGCCTCCGGGCGCGTTCCAGAGCGCGCCGTCTCGATGGCAAGGAGCCTTGGTGGCGCGTTTCTGGCCACGACGTTTTTGGGTCGAAGTGGTTCATCTTCCATCTGAAAGCGCTGAACGCATGGAGCAAACGACGTTCTGCAAGATGGGTTGGGGACCTCCCGATTTCTTCCAAATGGATCTCTTGGGACGAGTTACTCGAGTGTCGATTCCAACGACGCGCGCCCTTCCCATGTTTGGTTCACAACTGGTTTATTCCCGTTGAAAGGGGCCAGGTGCCAGGCCACGTGTGAGCAGAGAGTGCCAGGTGCCACCGAGAACTGTTGCTGCGATCTCTGTCGGAGGGACGAGCTGAGGACATCATGGCGGCCCAGTATGTGCAGATGTGAAGCTCAATGTGATGAGAAGGTCTCAGGACGTCGGAGAGTCATAAACTTTGATCATAGAATGTCATAATGTCATAGATACCCTACAAAATGAACCCCAAATAGATAGAAGTTCATAGATCCCCACTGATCATGTATTCTCTTGTTGAAACCGTGCCACGATCTATTTGGCTTCCAGGTGGGGTGGTTTAGATGACGGTTCCAGGTCCTTTTTGGATCGGGGTAGAGACGATCTCACTGGCGCTCGACCGTTGGCCGGGGCGTTGCGGTGCCGTCGGGACTCGTCCCTCTGAGAGCTCGGTGTTTTGGGCTCAAAAAGGAGCGCCCTGAGCTGCGAGCCGCAAGGAACCAAAAGACGCGAGGACGAGCGAGACCGGGGGGTTTCAGTTTTCAGTGTTCAGGTGACGTGGAAAGGTCCTCTGAAAGAACGAAGGATTTTCTGAAGAACAGATTTGTTGCAGGGCAGACTGGAGGGCCGCTCTCCTTTCAGGTGTTTTTTTCTGCGAAGCTCTCGCCATGTTTGGAAGATGCTCGCCTCGCCACTTTGGCCCACTAGCGGGGGGAGTGCATGCCATACACCCAAGTTGCCTAAGAAATCCACTTGAGTCGCTCCCCGAGCCCACCGACGGTCTGACTGGGCCAAATCGACACGAAGACGACAAAAACGGTGTTGACCGGCCAGATCCCTCCCGCCCCCGGGTTCGGATCTGGGCCCAGCCACTGCATGCTACTGCCAAGGAAAGTCTGCGAGTGGGTTGTGCCACAGGATTTGGGTGGAGGTCTCCACAGGTAGTTCCGCGGGTCTCCAGTTGCATCGCTTCTCGAACACTAGCATCCTCACCGCTTGAAAACTCGCCATGACCTGCCGCCAGTGCTATCAGCTTTGTTTCGAAGGCCGGCTGAGGTGGATTCTGTTGGCAAAGAACGAACACACACACACACAGACACGCCTCCCGTGAACATGTTTCGGACCGGAGGTGTCAGTGCTTCAAATCCGGTGTTCTGTTTTCTTCCGCCTCTTTCTCCCGTCAACGCGGAGGCACGAGAGGCACCGTCCACCGTCCATGCTTCACGCCGTGCAGGCGATCCCCAGTCCATCCAGAAGACCGAACGATGGAAGTATGTGGGCGAAGGCGGGGAAGGTTCACGAAGGTTCTTTCTCTTCCGGTGACAAGGACTTCATCCCAATTCGAGGAAGAGAAAGGTACAGAAACAAAGGCAGAGGGATCCCTAAATAGATAGAACCTGTGTGCATCTGTGTGCGATATTTTTCAATACATTGCTCATTTCTAGTGGGGATCTACTTCTCCAATTATTTTGGGGGTCCATATGCAGATTTGTCGCTGTCATCCAGTGTGCAGTTCAGCTATGAAGTTTTTTGCGGCTTCTGCATAGCTGGGATAGTCTTCACCCAAGCATATGCCCGGATCTTCCAACTGTGCCAAATGTGGCATCTTTTCGTCCATGAACAACAACCAAGAGTCAGGCAGACATTTGGCATAGTTGGAAGATCCAGGAATTCGTACGATCGTTTCATGATGGTTTAGTTCAATCAAAAAGAGAGTAAAACACGCGCACACTATACCCTGGATGTCAAAGACTATACAAATAGGAACGGTCTTTATGATTATGGGATCTGAAAGGACATTTCCTTTACTTCACTCAGGGAAAGTATAGTCTTTGGACCTCCAGAGTCAATAGCAGACTCCGACGTGTCTTGGAGGCCGAGGCTCCTACGACGAGCAGTCGAGATTGACCTACGTCGGCCTCGGAGACCCGGCCGTTTCACTTCTGACCGAAGCACCCATGGCTGTGGCTGTTGGCACTCCAAGACGGTTTGGTTTGGTCCACCTTTGACAAAGAGTCGACTGGACTTCCGTGGGCGAAACTAGAGCGATTGGTTCGTGGAAAAAGGCTGGTGTTCATGGCTAAGCATGGTCTCATGTGCCATCCGGATGTGTTTGCTTGGATCTCTGAAGGACTGAGAGATTTGCCGGAGCATTCCTTCACTCGGAGTTCTTTTCCTCTACCCTCTGTTTCACGGTTTCACGTCGCGCCTATAGTGACTACTGAATCGCCCTGTTTCGGACTTTTTTGTTGTTGTTGGATGTTGTTGGTCGTTTTGTTCTTCTCCGTCACTGTCAAACTCATCAAAGCCTGTGCTGAGGGAAGGGCAACATTGACAAGGAGCTCCCACGCACCTCTGGAGGGCGAGGGCGCTGCTGTGTTTTTTTTCCAGTTCCATAGTTCCATGTTGCAGAATTTGCACTGTTGGTTTTTCTGTGTGCCAGATGGATCCGCCGCCAAACTGAGTTGCCCAGAACTGACGACTCACGATGTCTTTCCCTGGCAGGCCCAACTGCTATCTTTGTACGACCCTGCTGGGCGTCCTGATGTTGGTGACCTTGGGCCTCTTGTCATAGCAGCATGGGGCAGGACCTGGACCGCACACCGATTCCACATCCCAGCTATCAAGTGGTTGACATCGGTCTCAGGGATAGGTTGACACTCGTGTCATCCCATCCCCGAACTGACCTGACCTTGGTGGGGGCGAGGCTTCTTCCCTTCCTTCGCGAGGTCTGCTCTTCTGGCTCTATTTGCGCGCCGCCCACCCACCTGCACACGCCGAACTCTATGATTGCCCCTCGGCCATTGGCAAGGCCACCGCACCGCAGTCTGCGTCGAGGTCGACGTGCCGGTCCACCGGCGCGGGGGAAGGGAGATGCGCCAGCTGCGATGCTGAGCCGAATGATGTCTGCATGTGGCTGCCCTCACCCCCTCCGGACCCAAAAAGCGCTCCCCAGCCATTCGGTGAGGCTTCCGGAGCTATGAGACACAGTTCCAGCTCTGGGACGCACGCCATCGAGACTATTGCTGCGACAACTTCGGCCGCGGCTGCGCTCACTTCGCCCCGTCCCCGCCAGTGCCGCATCGGGTGCCGCACCGGGTGCCGCAGCACCGCGCGGTGGTGCATCATGCGGCTCGGACTGGGGCGGCGGTCAAAGCGGCGGACGTGGGTGATGGACGAAAGGAGAAGAGAAAACAAAAGGTCAAAGAACATGCTCAACATGCTCGCAACATGGCACATTTCGACGGGAATATGATGGTTTTGTCACTGAATGTAACACCTTTTGGCCCTGGTTAGAAAAATTGGTACGTCTCCAGTGGGCGGGTTATGAGTCGAAAGTCCCTTAGATTCTATGTCGGCTGTGGGATGTTATTTTTCTAACTCGTCCAGCCGTTGGGGCATGCGATATGGACCAACTTGATGCCGATCGAGTTCATACCGCTGTCGCTTTCTTTTGTTTTTCCTTCAGGTGATCTACCGAAAGCCTCCGAGCAGCTTTGCCTTTGACTGCCACTCCGGCTACTCGAACTGGTACTTTGGATGGTCCACGCACAAGAAGTCCTGGTGCTGTGATCACAGGGGCATGGGATGCCCTGGAACCTGGCATGGCAGCCACCATGTCCACACACATGTCATGGCTCATGGAGTGGGACATGCAAAGGGTCGCATCTACGACTGTGATGCTGGCTTCTCGCGCTGGATGACCGGCTGGTCGGACTCCAAGAAGGATTGGTGCTGCCATCATCAAAGCAGGGGTTGCGTGAAGTTCCATTGCACTGGCGTTGTTCCTTGGACTCAATCGACCGTTTTCGAGACCTAACCTCCCTTTTTCGGTGCTCCTGTTGCAACGGGGCAACGGGATCACCGTTCGTCCGCGCCCAAGGACAGCAGCTGGGCGGAAGCGAAGCGATCCTGGTGCTGCAGCAACGTTCAGAAAGGTCCGCGGCGGAACCCGCGGCGGATTCGGGACAGTTCGGCCCTCGTGTCACAGCGGTGGGAAAAACACAGGCTATCCATGTGGTTTTTGCTGGTGTGAGACGAGAGAAAAGCGAAGAGCTTCTTTTGGGTGGGACTGTTTCCCGTGAGCTAGGGCCTAGCTCAAAGCACGAATCTCCGTCGAAGCGGGGCGGGCTGCGGGCCTTGCTTGACCATCCTTCGGCACCGTCCGTCCATTCGGCACCGAAGATACATGACGACTAGGCGTACGAACGGCCTACGGCTTGTGGTCATTCCACGAAGAAAGAAGACAAAAGAGAGTTTCGCAAAAGCCGGAGGAACAAACAACACACACACACATATATGTATATATATCACCACGCGCACCAGGATAACTCGGGAGACGAGCCCGGTGATGTACTAGGCTCACAGACCTATGTACAAACAACAATCCCCATGGGAAGCGAACTTCCTTCATGCAGGTGAAAAAGCGACCAAAGCAAGTGGAACATCCCACGAAGCGAGAGTGCGCCCAGCACCCATTTCAAAGATCTTGGCAAGGTGTGTAAGGCCAGCATCATCAACAAAAACGGATGCCCCGTCAATGGAGCCTTGCGGCATTGTACGGCCTGCAGCTTTGGCTAAGGCAGGAACAATCTTGCATGGTGTAGCTTGCACAGCATCTGACCGTTCAAGCAGTACAAGGGCTCTTCTGATCGTTCTGTGGTAGTCCAGATATGTGGAGCCTTGATGGCAATCTTCAAGCTTGTAGCCCTTATGATGGAACAAAGCCGTGAGTTCACAAAGAGACGTTACATCGCCATCTTGTACTCGCCATCGCAAGCACCGCAGAAAATTGCAAATAGTATCCCAGTCATTGTGGTTGCCCTTCCAAGCACTCGGTGGTGGAAACACTAGCGGAATTTTAGGTTTCCACGCAAAAGCTCTTTCATTTGCATGCCAATCCCAATGAGGAAAAAGAGCCCTGTACTCCTCATGGCCAAGAGAGGGTTCAGGCTCTGTTGGATACTCAGATTGGGAACTCAAAGCAGTGGGCAGCAACTCGTGTAGTTGGGTAAGCCACTGCTGATGCCGAAGAGCAGCCCTGTCTGCTTGTACTTGTATCAGCGGGTTTACCGCCGAGAGGTTATTGGCAAACTCCTTTGCAGTACGGTCGGCAAGTCTATTCCGTTCAATGTGTCGAACTGTCGTATGCTTGCTTTGTGCCATAGCTTCTGTCACATTCTCAATCGGGAGGTGCTCGAAGCAGTGCGCAGGAATCCAGGATGTAACAACCGGCTGAGGATGGTGTTCCCTCCTCTGTCGTATGAGGGAGGAGATGAAGGACCACCATGGTTGACAGAGCCATGCTGGATCAGCTTCTCCTGAGGAACTTACCTGGGTTGCATGTTCAACAACCGTCTTGTTGTCGCAGAACACATGGACCCGATAGGGCGTCTGAATGCACGCTTGTAGAAGTCCCCAAAGTTCCGCAACATAGGAGCACAGGAACGGATGGTTCACAACGCCCTTCGTGCATACTTGCAAATTGGTATCAACGACTGCGAAGGTGGCAATCGTCAGCCAAAACCTATTCGCCCACATCAACGAGGCATCAGTCCAAAACTCAACACAATGGTGCGGTTGGAAGGAGATCTCGATGGCAGGTGGAATGGAGAGCAACAGTCGTCTTCGAGCCAAATACCAAGGCTGCTCCAAAATGCCAAGCAAAGCAAAATTTTGGCCAAATTCATGAAGGACCGGCTTGCCGATGATGGCATGGAGGGAGTGACAATCGTGCACTAGATGCTCCATGCATTCCTTAGCTGAGGAACAAAAGCGGCACTTGGGTGAGTCGCTCCACCCAGCGGCTGATAGCCTATCGTTGGTTAAAACACAACCAACTACGACCGAGTGAAAGCGAACAGCCGGCGAGAGACTTGCGTGGTCTGAAGTCGGCTTGCTTTTAAGTAACTTCGTAGTAGCCTGGTGGTCGAGCAATCCTTGAGGTGGGAAAAAATCCTTCCGAGTTCTGTGGTCAACACTCTGATATGCGGCTTGTCTGGCAAGTTGGATCAACAATGGCTTAAGTTCACGAGGTTGAAGATGGGTCAGGTCAATGGGTTGTGAATTACGAAAGGAGAGACCAAAAGACTCATCAATCACAACATTAAGAACCGAACTTGCAGATTGAACTCGGGACCACAAGGAATGCTGTTGGGCATGGCAGTGAGTTTGCGATCGACGTATGAAAGGAATCAAACCTGGTGTCTTCTGACAGCATCGAGTGAACTCAGCAATAGTGGTGACAGCACATGCTAACACCGGATCAGTGCGGTGAGGTTGGCCGTGTATGGCTTGGATCAACCATTTAGCACGCCATTTCGGTCTTCCATGCCACAGGGCTTTGATGACCGCACTTTGGAGTTGGGTCAATTCCCTTTTGGGGATTTGCGTGACGTGTGACGCAAAAGTAAGTCGCGGGATGACTTTGGCCCCAATGAGCAGGTTCTTGACATGAGTCGGAATGCGAAGCGCCCCAATGTTGGCAATATCGGTCAGAATCTGTTTATGGGTGCCCAAGTCATATCGAAAGGCCTTACGGGAGCAAGTGTACATCTTGGCTCCGAGCACTTCAAACTCAAGTTCGACAGGGAATTCTGGGAACAAGGAACGAAGCTGTTTCCTACCATGGGAATGTGAGGACCACATGGACGATTTATCCGGATTAAAAAGCTGTCCAACAAGAAGGTCCCAGTGCTTTGTGATCTGTATTGCAGTGTGCAGCTGATGGATACGGTCAAGTTTACACCACAAGTATGAATCGTCAACAAAGGCACGTACGGAGACCGCTGGAAGGTGAACTAACAGGTGGTACCAGACTTTGTTGTACAGGTTCATTGCAAGTAAGGACAAGCTGCAGCCCTGTGCCACACCGTTGGCCGCTGTAGTCGGAGTCGGCCGCATCCAATTACGGTAGGCCAAATGGCGATGAAGGCCAGTATAGAGCTTAACAAAGACATTGACCACAGACCTGGGTAGGCCGAATGCTAGCATCAACATGGCGGCATAGGCTGGTACGATCCTGTCAAATGCTTTGGACTTGTCAAGCTTCACACCTACGACTGGGGAGGATTCACTTTGGGCCATATCCAACTCAAGGCGAACTTCATTGTATAAGGAGGCCATGTGCCGTTCTTGTACCCCACCTAAGATGGCTGGTGGGAGGGCAGTGAGTAGCCATGGCTGGAGTTGCTTATATCTACTACCAGTGTAAGCCAAGAGCAAGGCTGGCAATACAGTAATAATCCTTTTATTCAAGGCCGAAGCTGGTCCCTTTTTATTAAGGATGCATTGTTTGGCGCAAACAAGGGCTTTGGGCAAAGGCTGTTCGGACTCCTCTATGAAAGTAAAGAACCGTGCGATCGGGTCAAAACAAGGTGCAGGAAGAGCTTGGAGCTCCAACGTGCGCCAGCCATCTAAGCCCGGAGCTGCATGGCTCTTGCGACGATGAACGGTTTCAAAGAGTTGCTTGCCTTGTATGGGAGGTAAATCACACTGATGAACCTGCTGCTGAATGCTCGGCCAAATGACTTCTAAGATTTTGATAGGATTTTCACACAAGGCATTGGCAGAGTAAATCGTGTCCCAAGCCGAATTAATCTGGTCTAGTGCAGGCATAGGCTGATAGATAATCTGGCCTACATCATCAAGAACCAAATTAGGGGGTTCATCTTGGACGGAGTTGCGCAGATGCTTGTAAATGAAGTGACAGTTTCCCTTGGCAGACTCTTTGATTTTGGTCTTCCAAGCTTGCAAGCGTTTCAAACGGATTTGTGAGTCGAGAAGTTTGGCTGCTGCCTCAGCCCATTGTCGAGCAAGAAACACTTCAGCAAGGGTTGGAAAGTGCGGAGACGACCACAACACTGGGGCATGGTGGTGTTGGAGACCCTTATGTGCACGGTATGCGGTTTGACGAGTATCAAACTGGTCTTGGGGTCCTCCTGGGTCTCTGGAGAGTCGACAAAACAACTCTTGCAATCTGCCAACCAGTTTATAGAGATCTGTGGATTTCTTGGTGGCTGCACAGAAGTTCTTATGCTGCTTGGGTGTCACACGTTTGGACACAAATTGGGGTGTAGCACCTCGACTTTGTGGACCCTGACCCCATTGGGCTCCTTGTGAGCGAAGGGAGTGAACAAGAAAGTCATTAATGACGCTCCATTTGCCTTCACTATCATTGCAAGCCTCATACTTAGCTGAAAAACGGGGCCAGTCAGAATGAGTGTCTTCACTCCACACTGCAGGTGTGAGGGTTTCAGGGACAAAGGCGGCACTTTTGAACAGTGTGTACCCAACCTGGGTAATGGATCGCCACTGAAAGACAAGTTTAATAGGCCGGTGTTGCTTGCCTACAACAGGAACAACCTCAGCAGATTTGAGGGCACAAAAGGCACAATTGTTGACAAGTACCGCATCAATTGACGAGGTTGCATCATCGCTTCCGGAAAACGCACCATCCCGGGAAAAGGTAAGGGGCCGAGTAGTGTGGCCCGTCTCATCAACTCCCGCAACCGGGTCAGACCATCCATGAAATGCAACACAATTTGCAACAGAGGCATAACTAGCCGGGTCAGCCTGCAGATCCCCAGCAATTACAATCGGAATTGCACCGAATTGAGCAACAAAGGTGAACACGTCCGACAACATCTGGTCATTTCTGTCGTGCAAAATGGAGTCCTGAGAGGCCCCAGTGAATGCATAAATCGAAACAACCAATAATTTGCATGAAGGTGAGACCTGAATCCATGCTGCATTTAAGCGTTGTGTTCGGTAGAGTGTGACATACAGGCCAGTATGATCATGGCTTGCCTCAAACGGTTGGATGATCGAATCCGAAGCGATGATAGCGGTACCCCCACAAGGAGTGATCGACCCCGATTTATGCCACTTGACGGGAAGTGGTTCGCTGGTGGTGATACGCTGACCCAGCGCTTTCACG